GTCCAGCTGTTAGCGGGCTGGTTGGGTCTACAGCCTGGAGGGTGGAGACTGTGGGCACCGAGACTGCTGCACCTGCTGGGTCTTCAAGGGGACAGGTGTGGAGGGAGCAGCTTCTCTCTGGGCTTGCCTCAGGAGCCATGCCTTTGGTCTGGGACCTGGGAGCGGGCAGGCAGGGAAGGAGGAGTGTTGGGGGTTATCTGTGTCCCAGGGTTGTTCAGTAAGCAAGACAAGGAAACAAGAGCTCAGGGATGGTTTTTCCACTAGTTCTGAGGGCAGAGGAAGAGGGTGGAAGCACAAAGCCTGTATGTTGGGGCCCGAACTTTCATCCAAACATCCGTGCCTTCAAAAAATATCGCTGGCAACCTGCCATGTGTCAAACCCTGCTTGCTATCACACCTGTTACTGCATACATGATCTTATTCGCTGTCTACAAAAAGAAGAAATTTCTCGTTTTACAGGTTTGAAAGCAGATGCAGTGAGAAGTAAAGATTAGGACCATGAGCCACATTCAAGATCTTCTGACCTTCCTGTATGGTTGTCTGTTTATCCCCACCCCATCTCTCTCCAGGGTATTAACGTACTTACCTGGCAGTCCCGGTACTCATTAAGTAGACCAGGTTGTCCTTGAACTCACAGCGATCTGCCTGCCTCTGCCTAGGTTTGGGATTAAAGGGCTGCTCCACTGTGTCCAGCACATGTCTATGAGCACCTGCGTCCGTCATTACTCCCCCTAAACCAGTCACTTGTCCCTCTCTGTTCCATTGACCTACTGGGTATTTCTTCATGTATTTGATGCAGCTGGATATCAGATCATAGACTTGCCCCCTCTCAGCTGGGTGGTGGAGGCTGGGGATGCAGAAGCTGATGGTTAGAAAGGTTCGTCCCCATAGCTTCAGCGCCTTGATCAGCTCACTGGTCAGAAGGTGGCCAGGGTTCATTAGGTGAGCACAGTGCTGGCTTGACTGTGAGGAGTGGTGTGGTGATGAATAAGACTCCTCCGTTCCTGCCCCTGGGAATGTGTAGTAGGTGGTAGATGCAGACAGCCCAACATGTTGGTTTGTATGAAAAAGAAATCCGGATGGCTCAATTTTAGTGGGGATGAAGGAAGGTGGAAAGTTCAGCAAACAGGAGCACTGTTCTTCTGACAGCCCCGGTCTGGGGCCATGCACAGCAGGGCTTTACTTTGTCAAGGTGTGCACAGTTCAGATAGCAAGCTGGAATATGGCAGGAAGAAGTCAGTGATGACCCCAAATTAGTCATAAGATGACACTGTGTGTAGCTGTCTTTCCAGTCTTCTGCTCCAAGAGAAAGTAGAGTCTCGTTTCTGCAGCAGGATTGCCAGTCTTAGGGAAAAGAGAAGCTGGCTACAGGGCAGACAGCCTGGAGACCATGGGGTTTCCAGCGGGGTTGAGGCCTGAATGATAAAGTAAAGTCTCCTTTCCCTTGGTTTGCCTTGTAGTAATAGGTAATGCGCAGCCTTTGTGTCTGGCTTTGAGAGAAATGTTTCAGCAAAGCCTTTGCTATGTTTGGGTTAATCAGTAGAGGCTGAAAATTGTTTTGAGACTGTTGAAACCTTGAAGAAATGTCTGTCTGGAGACTCTGCACTTGGTGCTACATGAGAGTCCTTGCATCTACACCAAACCTTGGTCCTAAGACACTCCTGGCTAACCTGGAGTTTGTATTTTTGGTTATGGCTAGCCATAATCAGAAGGGACTGAGATCTGTGTATGCTGTCTGCTCTCATGGGCAGCGGGAGCAAATGACTTTGGGAGTTGGAACCTTTGCCAGCCCCTACTAGCGTTGTGTATGTTTGAATAAAGTAACTGGAGTCAGCTAGCTGGCTGTCATCCTTCTCCTGAACTCTGGTGTTCCTTCAGAAAATGAAGGCGTGGCATCTTGGGGAGCCTCTCTCTGCTGCGGCCCTACAACTGACATCAAACAACAGCTGAGCAAAAATAGCAACAAAAAGATGTCAGGGAGAGGGTCAGAGAAAAATGGATAGCTCAATAAAATAATAAGAAGGTCAGGAGATCAGTGTGTTTTCAGGGAATGGTGAGAACGTTTGCAGACTGACAGGAGCAGCCGGACAGGAGTGGATGGACAGACAGTAGGGCGCTGTCCCTCGGATCAGTAGTCTTAATCAGCCCTGTGTTGTGGCCACTACCAGTCATGCTTCTGAGAATGTCAAGATGGACATCTGTTTTTACAATTTAGATAGAACTGGACCCTGAGTACCAGGTTGGATATGAAGAAAGACAACCTCAGAGGAGAACAAAATGGCATACAGAAGTCTATTTATTTGGAAAGGAAAATTCTGGGTAAGTCTGGGAGCTGGGTCAGCTGGGGGTTCTGTGTAGCCCCCTCATCTTGTGTCCTCTCGTCTTCTCATTTCTCAGTGATGTGGACCATGGTGATGGTGAGGACCAGGGTGCCCGGGGCCATGGGGATGGTGAGGTCCAGGGTGCCCGGGGCCATGGCCAGGGGCTGGGCAAGCAGGTCCTGGAGGGGGGGGTCCCCCAGGACCGTGGCCAGGGGCTGGGCAAGCATGTCCTGGAGGTGGGGGTCCCCCAGGACCAGGGGGTGGTGGACCATGAGGAGGACAAGGACCCTGTAGAAAACCAAAAGGGAAATGTCAGAATTCAAAGCCAGCGCCAATGACTGTGGTCAACTTCTCTTTACCTCCCCTCCCCAAGGGACTCAGGATTCCTAGGCATCTGGAAGGGTTTGTGGTGGGGAGTTGGATAGCAAAGGATTTGCTCCTGGCCCTGCCCCTTTTTCATTGAAGTCTCTTAAGAACTGGGCAAGCAAAAGGGAAGTGTCTTGTTGTTTTAGATTTATTCCATTTGCTACATTTTGACCTCTTTCCCTGGACCTCGAGTTATTTATTTGTAAGAAGCAAAATTATCTCAAGACCCCTTCCCTGGCCCGAGGGTCTTAGCAGAAAGGCTACAGGTTCTGCCTTGCTCCAAGTGGTAGCTTGCTGTATTTACAGCTAAGGTGAAGCTGGGGAGGCTGGAGAAGAATTCCCCGGACACCAGGTAGGGGAAACCCAGGCTCTGAGTAGAGATGTGGCAGGTAAAAGGTAAGAGGTGGAAATCAAGGGTGTGTTTGTGTGTAGATAGGAAGTGTATTTAGTTTATATATATGTAGCATGTGCTGGCACATGGCTTTAATCCTCTGAGGTGGCAGAGGGTGATCTCTCTAAGTTTGAGACTAGCCTGCTCTATATAGTGAGGTTCAGCACAGACAGGGTCTGTATGCATATACAGAATGAATCCCTGTGTTTAATTTATCTTTTTATTTTTGGCCAGTAGTGCTGGCACACAACTTTAATTTGACACTTAAGAGACTGGTGGATCTCTGTGAGCTCAAGGCCAGCCTGGTCTACATAGGGAGCTCCAGGACAGTCAAAGCTAAGTGGTGAGACCCTTTCTCAAACAATGAAAATAGATAAATGAATGAATACAATTTTGAAGGTGTGTCTTGGTATGGAGTTCAATGGTAGAGAATTTGTCCAGAAAGTACAAACACAACATAAAAAAAAGCAAAATAAAACAAAAAAACAACAAAATAGCTGTGTCTGTGTGTATTCCTGTGGTGGGCAAATAGCATGCACACATGTACACACAGATGCATGCACAGGCTGCCTATATTACGCCTCTGCACAACTGTCACACTCAAACGGGAAGAAGTAAAATTAAAGTTAATGTCCACTTCTCAGACCCAAGAACCTGGGAAAGTGTTGTATAACCATCTTAGCCAGGATGATTAGTGCTAGGGCACTGGGGTGTGAAGTCCAGTGGGGTAGAGGTGGGGTTACACCCTCTATTCTTGGAGTAGAATTATGCCCTCCTCTGCTTTGACCTCCCCCCCGCCTGACTCAGGGGTTTGAGTGAGGTGGAATACAGGTGGGGAGAAACAGTCTCCAGAACTGGGGACTTTCCAGTTACAGCAGTCCCTGCCTCAGCTGTGCTAGGAAACAGCCTCATCCTCCCCCACCCCCTTCTGTGGCAGGGAGCCTGGTGGCTGCTGCCTGTTGGGAGGGAGAGGTGGTGAGCAGGCAGCCTTCCCTTCTTTCCCTAGCAGAAGCCTGCCTGTCCTAGGAGCCCTGCAGTGGGACTGGGGCTTGGGAGCCAGGCAGCCAGGGGAGCACAGAGCAGGCTGGGAAGCAGCAGGAAGAGAGGGTGAGCTGCTGGGCCAGGGGAGGGGAGTAAGGAAAGGAGAGAGACAGATGGGAAAACAGAGAGAATGCCAAGGAGAAGGTTGCAGTTGGCAGAATGTGGGTGGTTATGGAAGTGTCCCGCCCTTCCCAGGCTGATGCCTGAGTGAACTTCCTGACTTCATCTGGCAGAAGTGCTGGTCTAAGAATGAGATGGACCAGAAGGAAGTGGCCAGGATGGAGGTGTTAGGGTGGGCAAGGGAAAGAAGGGTAGCGAATGTTCTTACCTTGTGACCTGTTGGAGAGAAAGGGGGAAAGAACAGCAGGGTCAGTCTTTTGCTTCTGAAGGGGACCCCTTGCCTTCTCCCTGATGCTAGCTCTGTGTCCACAGGCCACCCTCAACAAGGCTCCTCAGACCTGGTCACCTGCCTGACAAACATTCCGTCCTTCATCCATCCATAACAGCAGATTTGTATTGGAAGACAATATGAAGCTCACTTGTGTGTCCCTATGGGCTCAAGGGCTGGCTGAGTCCCCCAGGTGGCATCAGGCCAGGTAGAAGGTGAGGCTTTTGTCCACACTGCCAGGGGTCTGCTATCCTAACCTTGGTCAGATTTCAGGGCATCAGGGAGACATTCTATTGTGGCAAACCCCAATTCTTCCTCCTCTGTCTCCACCTGGGCCCCAGGCAGTCTCCCCCACTCATGCCTGTCCATCCCAATATAGACCATCAGAGCTGTGTGGTGGCTGCTGTTACATCCTGGTCACAACCTTCTGCTCTCAGCTCAGGGCCTTTGCTCACACTGTCTGCTGCCTGGAAATCTCTCGAGCATGGCTCTACCTCACTATCCAGCAGGTGTTCCTCATCACTGGGGTGCGGAGATCCCCAGAGTGGACACAACAGTTCATTCTGCAGAAGCCACCTATGTGGTACTGGGTATCCCAAAAGGTAACCTTGATGGGAGTTTTAGGTCTTTTGCTTCTTTTTTTTTAAGCTTCTTTTTTTAAAAAAAATTATTTATTTATTATGTATATAATATTCTATCTGTGTGTAAGTATGCAAGCCAGAAGAGAGCACCAGATCTCATTACAGATGGTTGTGAGCCACCATATAGTTGCTGGGAATTGAACTCAGGACCTTTGGAAGAACAGGCAAAGGTTTTAATCTCTAAGCCATCTCTTCAGCCCCCGTTCTTTTGCTTCTTTTGAGGGGATCCAGTGGCACAGCGGCTGGGCTCTGGGCTCCAGACCTGACAGTGCTTTTCATGACCTCACTTTGAGCATCATGCCTGACATCCCTGGCCTCATTTGTCCCCTGGGAGATGAACCCTCCTTTTTGTCTCCTCAAGTTGAAGAGCTAGTGAGATGAAAAACTCACATGCTTGTTTCTTCAACTATAATGTGTGCTTCACAATATGAAAGTTGTTTGTATTATGGAAGCCTGCACGCACACCTGTACACACACATCCAAGCACACTTGGCATTCAGTAGATATGGCTGACTGCTTGTCTCTGCCCTCCCCACTCTCCTTCCTCTTCTTTCCCCTCTTCTACCTCCTAACCTCCTATCCATGCTACTTACCTGGATCCATCTTTATGGGGCAAGTGCAGGAAGTGACACACGCAACACCTGTGGTTAACAAGAACGTTTTAATTGGCAGTGATCTGGTTGCTTTGCTTCTCCCTCCTAGGGCTGCACACACATAGTCCCTTCACAGTGAAGACAAAAGAGGGTGCCTGCCAGGCACCCTGGTCATGATACCCTGCCCTCTGTAGGTCTCTGTATAAACACCTGCATAGAGGTGGGATGCAGAGACTTGGCGAGGTCGCTCTAGCCGAGTGGGGAGGGGCAGACAACCTGATTGAGTATGGACTTCTGGGGACCCAGGAGACCTTAAGAACTTTGTTCCTGCCTCCCAGATGGATGGAACATTCCAAGGTTCCCACTGCCTATTATTGTCTTCTCCCGTGAGAATTGGGAGAAGGTTGGAGGTTTAGGGTCTGAATCAATTTGTCATGCATTGCCAGTCTCTCATCATGGAAAACTGTTGAGGTCTAGCCTCATCTTTTGGGGCCTGGCATGCGAATAACAATTAACAAGTCCAGAATTGTCCAGCACCCACAACACAATACACTTGAAGATGAAAGGTATCCTGGCTCTCTGAACTCATATGGCAAATGAGTGTTTTAGTACAGACGTCCACACTTACAGACAGACAGACAGACAGACACACACACACACACACACACACACACACACACACACACACCTCTAATACAAAAGACCTAGAGCTGCAGATCAAATGCAGAACCTTGTACTTGGAAAGCCGGCTCCCTACCATTGAGCCTCCCCCCCAGCCCCAGCAAACCACTCATTCTTATTGATTTGTTATTTCCGGTTGAAATCAGTCCCACATTATGACCATAGTCTTTCTCACTTGCTGATCATTTTTTAATCTTATGTGTTTAAGTGTTTTGCCTGGACTAATGTCTGAGCACCATGTTCATATGCAGTACCCACAGAGGACAGGGGAGGATACCAGATATCCAAAAACCAGAGTTACATGTAGCTGGAAGACTCCTACTTTGTGGGTGCTGGGAATTGAACCCAGGTCCTCCGGAAGAGCAGGCAATGCTCTTGACTGCTGAGCCATCTCTCCAGTCCAGGTTACCCCTTGACTAATGATGAACTTGAAGGATCTCATAAGGCTGAACTTGGGGAGGTAAAGGAAACCCTTGATTCAATCAAAACCTGAACTAAAAACAGTGAAAAGACAGTCCCTGGGATGTTTCCACTCAGGCCTAGCTCTCTGAGAAACAGGAATGGTCAGCTCTAGAAGGCACTGAAAATGCAAGCCTGTAACTCTCAGGTGACCTTCTACCTGGCAAGTCAGTCCTAACTCCTGCAGGGTGAAGGCACAGGGGCCAGCCTGGAGGGTGGGGTGGGCAGGTAGGCAGACATGCATACAAATACACAAGCACCTGACACAGGCACACACAATCCTTTAGAAACAGACTGACTTGTGCAGAAGGATGATGTCCTCACAAATACCCGGAGGCAGCAGTTCAATATACAAAAACCCAGAGAGACTAAGACCACATGGGTACCTCATTCACACACATAGGCCCCCTCTTATTTTACATTTAGTAAGCAAAGTCAGGTCCTTACCTGAGAGTGCAGAGCCAGGGACAGCAAGGCTTAGGATCTGTCTCCCCCAGGGGAGTATTTGTACAAGAGAGGGTGGGGCTGGGTCAGGTCACAAGCTCTGGGAGATTCTAGAATAGAAGGTCCAGGGAATGAGGAGGGATGGGTTGATCTCTCCCTGGGCAAAGATCACTAGGAAACAGGATGTGGGTGCAGTGGGGTGGGGCGGGGGTTTTGGGTGGAGTAGATGAGGAGAGTGGGGATCATTTTCATAGCCATCTGAAGGTCACGTGGACAGGCCATTAACTCCTCCCAGCATGCAGAAGAAGAAAGTGACCCTAAGTACATTCTTGCCTTGGATTCCAAGGTCCAGATAAGTTTTTGAATTGCTGCCCATCCAAGCTTGTCTGGAAACAGAATTCACACCCAGAAAAGGGGACAGTGGGAATAAAGTCAGGACAGGACGGAAAGGATGAAAAAGTTCGGAACCCAGGCTGCCAGCTCGCTCTGCCTATACCAAGCCCTTTGTAGGCCACCCGTGTGTCCGTCCCAGCACCTGTATTTGCCAAGATGATTTGCTTTGTGTGCTCCCTCAAGTAGATCAGGAGCCCCCACATTCTAGGATCCTTTCTTCTAATTTTTCTTATTTCCACTGACCTCTGCATACCTTAGATTCAGGGACATGGTGGCTTCCTCAGTCACTTGGCCATTGACAACCCTCCTGTTATTAGTTATTTGGTAAACAAAAAATTTTTATTATTTTTTAAGAGTTTATGTGGTTGGGCAGTGGCGATGCACGCCTTTAATCTCACTACTCGGGAGGCAGGCAGATCTCTGTGAGTTCGAGGCCAGCCTGTTCTATAGAGCAAGTTCCAGAACAGCCAGGGCTACACCGAGAACCCCTCCCTTGAAAAACAAAACAGAACAACTGAAGTTTCTGTGTCTAGGTGTCTGGCCTGCAGGTATGACTGTGCACGCAATCCATGCAGTGCTCATAAAGGTTAGCCAGAATCCCCTGGGTTCTGAAGAGTCAGAGCCCCTGGAACTGGAGTTACACACACTTGTGAGCTGTCAGACAGAAGCTGGGAATTGAACCCAGGTCCTCTGGAAGAGCAGCCTGTGCTCTTAACTGCGGAGGCATCTCTCTAGGCCCTTGGTGAACACATTTTGATAAGTTTGCTGAAGTTAGTTGTTGTTGGGTAATAACTGGTTTCCTTTTTTTTTTGAGGTTTATATTGTATGAATTTTTCCCTTTCTTGTTTCTGTATTTTTAAAAATTATTTCTGAATATGGCTGTACTCTACCCTGAAATTACAATGCTCCTCAGCCAGGCTACAAAGCGAGAACCTATCAAAATAAAAACAAGGCTGGCAATGGTTTGGTTTGGGGAATTGCTAAAGACTGAGACAATCTATAACTTTCCCCATCATGAGTTAATAAGCTAAATGTGGTGCATACATCAAATAACATGAAAGAATAAACAGTTGATACAAACCATACTAGGGCAGCATCTCAAAATAGTTATGTGGAGTGATAGAAGCCACACACAAAGAATACATACCATATGTTTTTGTCTAGAATAAAGATCCAGAAAACTGATGAGCGCAGCCGACCAGTGGGCAGTGGAGAGGGGCAAGTGGAGGAGAGACACTGGGGAAGGGCAGGAAGAAGCAAGAGCTGCTGCTATGACTTCGTGAAGTAAACACAGATCAAAACAGCTTGCACAATTCAAATACGCATAGTTTATGGCACGTCAATTTGACTTCAATTAGAATTGTAAAATAAAGAGTCCCATAGCCATTTTCAGAAGACAAGATGAAAGTATTGAGGAACAGGGTGTGTCTTCCTCATCTCAATAGCGGGGAGGGAGGCTCCGGCTGACCAGGATCTTCTACAGTATCAGGGAGCTCAGATAGGCTCTAGATGGTGGTGTTATTTTACACACACACACACACACACACATATACTATTTGCTTGCATGCATATATATAATAATATACCACCTAGAGTTTATATATGTGTAATATATGCCTGTATATAAACTCTAGGTGGTATTGTTATATATGTATGCATATAAACTCTAGGTGGTATTGATATTTATATATTATGGATGCTTTGCTTGCATGTGTGTCTGTACGCCACTTGAAAGCCTGGTGCTCTTGGAGGCCAGAAGAGGTAGTTGAATCCCCTGCAACTGGTGTTACACATGGTTATTAGCTGTCATGTGGGTGCTGAGAATTGAACCCTGGCCCTTGAGAAGAGCAGCCAGTGCTTTTAATTGCTCCCCTCTAGAAGGCATTACCCTCACTGTTTGGCAGTATTATATTTTGCTTTATGTGTATGAATGTTTGGCTTGCACGCATATAGGGATCTGACACACGCCTGTTGGATCCCTGGCGTCGGCCTGATTACTAATGGTTGAGTCACAATGTGGGGGCTGGGTGTGAAACCTGGGTCTTTGTCAAGTGCTCCTAATCGCTAAGCCATCTCTCCAGACTCCTCATCCTTAGTTCTTCCGAGGTGAAACTTTAGCTTTTTTGTTTGTTTTTTTTTTTTTTTTTTTTTTTTTTTTTGAGACAGGGTTTCTCTGTAGCTTTGGAGCCTGTCCTTGTAGATTGGGCTGGCCTCGAACTCACAGAGATTTGCCTGCCTCTCCCTCCCGAGTGCTGGGAGTGCCACCACCTCCCGACTGGAACTTCAGCTTTTGAGACAGGGTCTCAAGTATCCCAGCCTGGTGTGAAATTTATAACAGAGCAGAAGATAGACTTGATCCTTCTGCCTCCACCTTCGAAGTACTGGGATTGCAGGTGTATAGTGTATATCACCACACCCAACCTGTCTTTGGTGTGTGCGTGTATGTGTGTGTGTGTGTGTGTGTGTGTGTGTGTGTGTGTGTGCTTGTGCTGAGACTTAGTCTCTCACGCTGAGACTGACCTTGAGTTTCCCTCTGCCTCCAGCTCCGGAGTGTTGGAATTACAGGCTTGCACCACCACAGCGGGCTTTATCTTCCCTTCTTTGACAGATTCCAAAAGGACCTTGGTTCAGGGGTTAAGATGTTTGCCAGTGTGCAGTCGTCCTAATCAGGGACTGCCTGAGTCTAGAGCCTAGAGCCTAGGCTTTTCTTAGGTTGAGCCATCTTCCTTTTCAGGAAGGCGCTTCTAAAAAAAAAAAAAACAACAACAACAACTCCAGCAGCCTGCTTTGGAAACGTCTGTGCAGAGGACTTTGGTTTATGAGTAGGCGGGGAGCTATGACTCTGCTTTGTGTACAATCGTTGCCATTCTGAGGAGAGAGAGCCAGGGCAGAGGCAGCAGACAGGCAGAGCCCCAGAAGAGGTTTGCAAAGGTGTGGTGCCTGCGAACTCCCACGTTCTAGTCCACGCTGAGCAGATGGTACTTCCTATGCCCGCCACCCCCTGTGTTTACCAGCCCCCCTCCTTCAGGAATCTTCCTGTTCTCTTTAAGGGACACTGCTACTACGTCTTCTTCTTCGCTGCCAGCCTTGGGCAGGAGGCTGAAAAGAGAGCTCTGTGTCCTCATAAACCTCCTCAGGAAGGAGGGGGTAGCAGCTCTCTGGGCTCCAGGTTTGGGGCCTCCGCTCCTGCTTTCTCTGGAGTCAAGCTCTAAGCCCCTGGCCCAGAGTAGGGCAGGACAAAGTAGAGATGCTGAGGGCTTTCAGAGAGGAGCTAGACTTTGTCTTGATGGGATGGATGGAGACGGTAAGGCATTGTGGGTAGACTGGGGCCGGAGACCTTCAGGAGACGGGAAGCTGCCAGAGTGGTAGTGGGCACGTTGACGCATCCACCGCAGAGTGAGCTTTGCTTCTTGCTCTCCACAGTCCTAAGGTTTTGGAGGCCAGCAGAGCCCGAGTCAGATGTGTGTCCCCTCTACCCTTCAGCCCTGTGCCTCACAGAGAGTAAATGGTTCCAAAGTGCTTGGCTTAAGGCTTGGTTGACAGAGGCAACTTCCTGCCCTGGTGGTGGGTGAGGAGGGCATGTCTGTGGTGAGAAGCTGGAAGCAGGATCAGAAAAGAGAGATGCTAGGGAGTCTCCTGGGGCAATGTGAGGCGGGCAGCACATGGGGTCTTTGGGCTGATGGGGACATACAATAGTCTCCCAAAGCAGGACACTAGCCCTCTCAGTATTGGTCAGGAGGGGTAGCCAGGCCTCTCTGCTCCCTGGCCTGCCCAGCAGGCTGATGCCTTGGTTTGGTGGCCATGTTGACAAAGGTGGCCCACCCTGGGCATGGGCTGGAGAAAGTGCTGACGGGCAGTTAGCTTCGATGATTCAGGAAGTGCCACAGAGACGTTCATTCAGGTCACTGACCTTGATCTCCACAGAGATGCCAATAGCACCAGCTCAGGCTCCTCCACAGATTCCAAAACTTGAGGAGATCGAATGACGTCACAGGTGTGGGGCTCATCAGGCATAAGCCGTGGTGCAATGAGTTTCTGCCGTGAGCGCGAGCATCCCTGGCCTGTTGGACTCTCTAACCCAGCATGCCTCCCCTCGCTTCACACTGGGCATCTCCTGCTGGACACACTATCACCTCCGGCTCTTGCATCCTTCAGAACGTTGCATGGTTGCTCCTGAGGGACACCTGGTTGTCCCCATCTCCTTTGTTGGGGCATTCAGGAGAATGAATTTTTTTCTTAGCAGAGAACTCTTTACTAAAAGATAAGTGCAAACAAAGACAATTAGTCACCCTGTCTCTCCCTCCACCCTTCAGGTTATCAACTGCTCAGGACTGGTCCTTGTACTCTGAGGTCTCCATTCCAGGCCTAGGAGCCAGAACAATCTTTCATGTGACAGGAATGTCCACAGTTGGAGCGGGCAGAGGTGGAAGGTCATGCAGAAAAGGAATGTGCTTAGAGTTACCGTCCCTTTCCACCTGGAGTGTGGCCCATTTAATAGCCGGGCCTAATACAACCTGCCCTTGCCTGTCCTCTTCTTCAACATTTCCCCACCGGTGACCTCTAAGGACCCAGCCCCCCCAAAGCAGAGCCATTCCTAAGGACGGGCATGGGAGCTTGGGACAGCCTGCTAGGATCCGCAGGCAGATAAAGGACCAGGTCTGCTTCCAGAGTCCCAGTGCTGGTATGCAGAGAAGGCACAGTCTGGGGCCTGGAAGGGGAGCAGATACAGAGGATCTCCCAGTAGGGGTGGTGGTGCAGAAGCTGGGCTTTGATCTGTTGGGCAGGAGACAGGAAAGGAGGTCCCAAAAGGACCCTCAGGATGGCCCTAGTATTTTACAAATGCTTTAAAGAATTGCAATGTGCTCCCGCCCCTGACAGGGCGAGGCAGCCTTGGACACTCCTTAAAGGACACTGAGCGGCTGACTAGTGTGAAGGTATCTGGCCCAAGAAGAAAACTGTTTGAATTTTACTCTGGGCCACACAGTTTTCCTAATATGGATGTTGCTAGGTATTTAAATGTTATCATCATATGACTCACTGAGGGGGATAGCCATCTCATTTTATAGAAGTGGAAAGATAAGGGACCGGAATCCTCCATCCTGTCTGCCTCTTCCTAGACCAAGGCCGAGGAGTAGGGCAAAGGCCCTAGTACTAGACCTGATCAACCAGCCATCCACGGGACAGCCTCTCGGGAGTGGAGAGGAGGGCCTGAGCATCCCTGCCTCCGTGGTGGATTTCTTAGTCTTTTTCTCCTGGAGAGATCTCCCTGTTTCCCCCCAGAGAGACGCTTGGACTTACAACCATCTTCAGCTGTGTTTTTCCAGATGCCACCAATAAGGGTCACATGATGTAGGACCTGAAGGTGTGGCTGCCGCTTGAGTTGGCAGGTGGCCTGGGAAGGTGGGGAGCTACCACAGAGGAATGATCCAAGCCCAAGCAAGGTCACCCCACCCAAACCTAGCAGGAGAAAGCTTGAGTAGAGAGAGAAGTCTCCATCAATCTAGCTTTGGTGAGGCGGCTGTGGAAAGCGGCAAGGAGGCCCGCCTAGGACGGCAAGTCCACCGCCCTGGCTGCTTGTTTTGTCTGCAGCGGAACAGGCGCGACAGCCCAAGAGGCAACACCTCTCTGGGCCTGTTTCCTCCTCAGTAAAATAAAGCTTCTACCACGGGGTAGTCATCTAGCCGGATGAAGCTGGAAAGTGAGGTTGAGAGACGGTAGCGAGAAAGGGGGCCCCTCCCCCAACCATAGCTAAGCTTTTGGAATGCTTCTGCCCCCTAGTGGTGACTCAGAGTAAAAGACCTGTGTTTGGGGATACTGGCCTGGAAATCCTCCTGCTTCCAAGGCCAACTTCCTGTGCCCTCCACCCGGGATTCTTTGCCACTCAACTGCCCTCTTCAGTTTGTGTGTGTTCTGAGTGGCCAGAAAGGCAGTCACAGCCTGTGCACAGGGCACCCACAGTGACATAAAGTGTAGGGCAGGCTCTTTCCATCCTCCTCCAGCAGCAATGAGGTTCTGCTGCCTGGGGGCCCTGAGCTCGGCCGTGGAGAATCTCAGGGCATCCAGCATACCACTCTCGGCTCTCAGCCTCTGTCCCGTGTGAGAGCAGACAGGCAGATGGTGGGCTGTGGAGAAACTGGCAAAAGAAGGTGGGGGCTGCTCAAGAGCGTGGCAGACTGTGTGTGACTCTCGGAAACACGCGGTCAGCAACTGTAGGTTCAGTCTTGACTGCAGGTTTTGTTCAGGGTACATGGTCCTTCCGCCTGACGGCTGGGAAATTTTGGCTTCTACATTCAGGATATCTTCCTGCAGTCTTTCGAGAGGGCTGGGTCACCCTCTCTTCAGGGTGGCCAGGTTTCTACCTATGCCTTCTGACCCTGGTCAGGACTGGGAGCTGAGATGGACAAAAACCTCGCCTTATCTCTGTAGTCTATCCACATCCCTCCTCCCTACACCTGGTCAGGGGACTAAGATTCTAAAGAGGGTGGACAGCGTTAGGTCTCTTTCCTTCTCGCACTGGGCTCTGGGGACTTTCTCGCTGAAGGAAGCATGGCGGGGGCTCGCGACTTCCGGAGACGGGTGGGGTAAGGCTGAGCTCAGCTGGATTTGTGGGGCAGGGTGCAGGGAAGGTGGGAGAAATGTGTGCCTGCGAGCACATGCATGTGAGTGTGCGCGTGCATGCGAGTGTGCGCGTGCATGCGAGTGTGCATGTGAATGCGAATGTGCATGTGTGTGCATGTGTGTGTGTGTGTGTGTGTAGACAAAAGGGGGAGGGAGACAGAGAGGATCTAGGAGCTCGGTGCGTCACCGTTGCTGGGAAAGGACACAGTCTGACTCAGTGGGAACATCCGGCAGGAAGGGAGGAGGGTACACAGTAGCATTTGCAAGCAGGACGGGAACTGGGAGCTGCGCTGTGGAGATGGGGTGTGGGGCGGGGGGGGGGGGGGGCCTGAACAGCAAAGGGGCTGAGGATGGTGGCAAGGAAACACAGAGACAGGAGACAATCAATGGTGAGGGGAAAGAGCTGAGCTGGTCAGTCAGGGACCTCATTCAAGGCCTATGTCCTCATAAGTACTGAAGCTGACCCAGGCACCCCTGGGCTGAGAGGCTGGCCTCGGCTGTGCGAGGACTGCTAGGGAAGGAGCCCGTGTCCTTTCTGGGGATCCGAGGGTCTGGAAAGGTCCTCCCTGGAGTACAAGGCAGAGAAGGGTCCTGACTGCTCCTGAGTGGAAATGTTAGGGACCCCAGAGAAAGGCCCATCTCAGCCTAGGTAAGGGGCTGGTGACCCAGAGAGTTAGGCCTCCAGGAGTGATCGTGCTCGGAGTGCGGAGAAATTATGTTCAACCTCAGGGACCAGATGATGGGGAGAGGCTTTTGAGGTCTGTGATGGTGTGTGCCGGCTGGGGAAGAGGGTTCTTCACTCTTAGCTAATGACTTAAGCCTCTGCTGATTGGACAGCCAGTAGGAGAGTGGAGGAATGCCTGAGGTGGGGCCCTCAGGGCATGGAGCCTGCATCCCTTGCCTTTTCTCCTACCTGGAGGGTGAAGACCTCTGCGGGCCACCCATTCTGCTGCAGGCAAATACAGGCAGGGGTCTTCCCGGGGCTCAGGACCACAGGTTAAGGTGGGCCCTGGGTGCTGAGGCCTCCTGTGCTCCGGACACTGAGGCAGGGCAAGGAGAGGTGTTAGACAAGACCAGCCGGCTGCTGGTGCCCTGGTCCTCGCCCTCTGAGAGTGGAAGGGTGGGGGTGGCGGCTGGCCAGGCGTTCCTGGCCGGGAGCCCAGAGCACTCTCTGGTAATCACAACATGATCTCTTGTGCTGAACAGAGAAGCTGAAGCCGGCAGGGAGAGGCCGACAAGGCCCGGCTCTGGTGGCTCCAGCTTCCCTCCAGCTCTGGCTCCCGGGGCTGCTTTGGAATCCTCTCAGTGACTGCTATTTCCATAAACTTGGCTGTGAGTGGCACCTTGTCTTGGGCAGAGGGCTTCTGGGGGATGGGAGGGGGCTGAACTACTAAGCAGCCACAGTCTGGAGACAGCTGGTGACAGCTGGGCCTGGGAGGAAGAAGGCCATGATGAGGCAGGTGGTGGGCTGGGGACGTCACTGGGCGGAACACAGACCCCGCAGCCAGACGGAGCGGGACCTTAGATCTGGATGTGGAGATGTGGCTTTCCCAGAGCAGCTCCCAGCTGGAGCTGCCATGGACCCACTGCTTTCCTGCCCACCAGTCAGCAGCTCTGACCTGGAGGGCTGGCTGGGCCCGCGTGAGCAGCTCTCTCCTGCAGACTGCGCACAGACTGTGGGGTCCGGTGCCCGGGAGGCCAGAACCAAGCTGAGACCTGTGTTTGTGTGTGTGTGTGTGTGTTTCTAGATTTGGGAGGCAAAGAGTTCCCCCCACCCCCTCGACCTCCTGAATCCCCTGGCAGCTTCCCAGTCACGGCGGGTTCTGCTGCCAGAGCCATTTTTAACTCCCATTCCAGGCTGTGCTCACAGCAGAACTCCCTGGGGAGCCAGGGGGAGGGGCAGCCTGCTGATGGGAGCAAAGGCCCTGGGTATGGAGCCCTGACCTGAGCCCCCCAGGAGGCAGACTGGCAGATAGGCCTCACTGGGATGGGGCTTGGGGGCCATACATCTTCCTAGAGAAGCCCCTTTACCTTCTGTGTGCCTTAACGTGGGAACATGGCCTGTTCTTTGAGCGGGAATGTTAGAAGTTAGGTCATTGGTGAGCTTGGGTTCCTTGTCTTCTGCAGGGACCTCACAGAGCTGAGTCCACAATGCGCAGGCACGAGGACAAAGATGCTGAGCTGGACCGCAGGATAGCTGCCCTGCGCAAGAAGAACCAGGCCTTACTGCTCAGGTACCAGGTGAGTGGGTTGTAGCGGCAGAGAGGACTCCGGTCCCCGAGTGCCCTCAAAGCCTGTTCATGCAGCAGGTTCTTTCTGAGACATCTAGACCTCGTCTCCAGGCCCTGACAGAGGGTCTGGGTGGATCGTTCCTCTCAGAGGCGTGGTCAGAGTCTCGGGCACTGGTAAGGCCGGTGCCTCTGCCCCCTGGTGCCCCACTGGTGTTTCTCTGTGTAGGCCTGTCAGCGGCATCTGTGTGTCTGTGAGCCTGGGGGGCCGTGGCCTTGCTGATCCCAGGCCCTCCCACAGGAGATCGAGGAAGATCGTCGCCAGGCAGAGCAGGGGGGCATGGCTGTGACCACACCAGGGCTCTTCCAACCTGACAGCCTCACAGTGACCATCAGCCAGGTTCCTGGTGTAAGTTCACCCTGGAGAGTGGCAGAGTTAAGGCATGATTCCATTCCTGGGCTGTTACCACTACCCCACTTTCTCCTGTCTGCCTTTCTGGGTGCCCCCCCCCCCGCCAGCAACAGGCCTCCTTAACAACCAAGTCTTGCTATGCTCCCCCAAAAGACGGCAGATGAAAGACCATCAAACAGAGGATTTCTACAGCCTTTTCCAGTCCCATGACTTTGTACACAAGCCAGAAAGCACAGTCATCACCCTACCCCAGCCCCTGAGGCTAAAACCTCACTGGAAGCAGAGGACAGAAAAATCTAGGCTAAAAGCAAAAGAATCCGTGCCTTAGAGATAAGGCTGTGTTGTCTGTGCACTCTGGGTTTCTCGGAGATGACAAGTCCCCGTGGCATCTTGGGTGCCTGGGTTGGCCCTTAGCTTTGGGTAGCTAATGCCATTGGCACGTGGACTCCTGAAAGGTCAAGTTTCTCCACGGGCATTCCAGAGAGGGCCAGGGCTAGAACCCAAACCTCGGAACCCCTTGCCCAGCACCTAGCACCCAGCACCTGGCCCTGCCTAGGACTGCCCACGTGACCTGAGGACACAGGTGTCTCACTCTGCAGGAGAAGAGGGTGGTCAGCAGGAACTGGGCCAGGGTGCCCCCTGGAAGGATTGATGCGCTGACAGATGACGATGCTGCCGTCTCGACGGGCACTTTCTGCATGGGGAACCGGGTGGAACTAGCTGTCACCATGGAAAACAAAGCCAGGGTGAGCATTGGCATCGGCGCTTCCAGACGCCGGGTGAGCAGTCTCCTCCCCCTTGGCTCAGACTTGATATCCATCTACACCTTCGACAGGCCAAACGGATCGTGAGTGAAAAACCCACCACCCAAGCAAGGACCCCAAGGGCGAAGGGGACATCTGGAGGAGTCCAGGGCCAGACCTCTCCCCTGCAGATGGGTTTCAGCCCAGATTCAGCAGGGAAGGTACGTTTTCAAGAAGGGATAGGAGACACAAATTGGCAATCCCCGTTGGGAGGAGGCAGAGAAACAAAGTCAGATATGTCCCTTGCCTAAGGGGAGCCTGGCCTAGGCACCACCTTCGAGAATTCTCACCCTCTTCCCCTTCTCTGACTTATATTCACTTTGGGTGCACCTTGCCGTGAGAAATGGTTTAAGCCAGAGCTGTGATTCGGCCATGAAAAGACCCATCACTCAACGTATCCTAAGTGTCAGTGGGATGTGTAGGCGACTGGCTATGTGCCAGCTGTGACCTCTAGGTGGCAGCAGCCCCTTGTAATTGCTCTTGCTCTCGCTCACAGCCTCTGGGTGCCCCTCCTATCTAGGGGCCAGTCTACCCACACCAACAACTAAGAAAGGAGACACCGCCTTTTACAGATAAGGAAGTGATGCATACAGAGGTTAAGTTACTGGTCCCAAATTGACAGCTAAAAAGTGTTCAGATGCAAACAGCCCATAGCAAGTACAGCATGCTAGAGACAAGGCAAACCTAATCACATACTGGGACATGGAGACCCTGAGAGAGGAAGGGCTTAGCGGACTCTCTGGAGCTCCACTTGAATCATCTCCTTTCTTCTCCCACACAAGCCTAAGTGTCTTTCCTTTGCAGGGCGGTCTGGAGCCCCGGAGTCCAGGCGTGTCCCCAGGCCCACCTCCCCAACAGCCTGTGGGACTGCCCCCAGAGGCCAACTGGGACTACAAGCACTGGAAGCAAGAGCGAGAGCAGATTGACCTGGCCCGTCTTACCCGGCACAAAAATGCACAGGGTGACTGGAGCCGCCCGTGGGACCTGGATAAAGCCAAGTCCATGTGGGTGGTATGGCTGAGTAGCTTGCTGAGACATTGTGATTGTGGGACTCGGGTAGGGCTAACTGTGGGTGCCTCTTGGAGGGAGAGGACCTGCCTTGGACTCCTGGTCAGACCCTAGGCTCAGGGTTCTGTGTGCCCCTCTCTTGGGTCTACCACCCTTGTGCCCTGAGGTTAGGGGAGGCAGTGTCAGGGTGGAGGCTGATGCAGCCTCTGTTCACATTGTTCACATTGGTGGACAGACCTAATGCCCTCCTCTGTCTAACGCAGGCCACAGAACTGCAGCAAGCCTAGAGATAAGGACTGGACCCCAGGCAGAAAGGGTGAGCCAATACCCACCTCGTGTCCTGTGCCTTGTTTGTTTGTCTTTTGGGACATTCTCAGCCCAGGCTGGCCCAGAACTCATGACCCTCCTGTCTCATCTAGGATCCCACTCTCCTCTCTTTTCTGTCTCATCAAAGATGAAAGGAAACTTGGAAAAATATCTTCCTTTCCTTCCTTCCTCTCCCGTACTATTCCATTTTTCTTGAGTCCTCTGAGCCACAGCTCAGTTTGGATTCTGTGGGAGCTGACCTGGGTCTTTCCAGATGCTGGTTCTTGTGGGGTAAAAGTATGAGTGGAGCTGGGCGGTGGTCGCGCACGCCTTTAAGCCCAGCACTTGGGAGGCAGAGGCAGGCAGAGCTCAGAGAGTTCGAAGCCGCCTGGTCTACTAAGCGAGTTCCAGGATAACCAGACTGTTACACAGGGAAACCCTATCTCAAAACAGACAAACAAACAAACAAACAAACAAAAAAAACCCCAAAACACCAATAAGTCCAAGTGGTCTTTTCTGGCCTGCTGTGGAAACTGTCCTGTGGACTTCTGGTGTCTTCCTGCCTCATATGTAGAACCTGGGGGCTAACAAGCTGGCCATATCTCATAGCTGGGGAGTGGAAAAACAGCCCAGGACTGCAGGCCTGGTCAGGTTTTTCTGGGGAGGCGGCTCAGGCTTTGGAAGAAGTAGAACTCCTAGCAGGATTACTACTGGTAGAGTCTTGGTACTAGGGAACTGCTGTCTCTGTTTGACCCTTTGACAGCCCATCCCCATTTCCTTTCCTTTGTCTCTCTTTAGGTCCTAGGACCCACCAGAAGCTACAGCCCCCACCACCATCCATGGATGGAAAGCGTGAGTTGGGAGAAGAAAAGGAGCAAGATTGCTTTCGCTGGTGAAGGCAGTGGCTACAGCCCTCTGTCCTTAATGTCTTGCAGGTCGGGGTGAACAATCTGGAAGACCCTCGGTGACACCCACCATAGGCAGCAAAGCCCAGGGGAAGGAGAGGCTGACCGGCAGAGCCCGAAGGTAACAAGCTAACAAGCAGCAGGGGACAAAAATCAAGGCAGGTATTTAGGTGTCCTCATTTCCTGGACTGGCCCAGGTCCCTCCGCTTCATCCCCAGGGCTCCTGCTTCCTGGCTTCTTGCTGCCTGTTATAGGTTAATGAGATACCGAGAAAGGCTACCATCATAGGTGGTGTTGGTGGGAGCCTGGTGCCCAGAGACTGTGGTAATTACAACAGCTCGCTTCCTCTGGGATGTGAGGTGCGCCTTTCCCAGGCGGAGCACGCAGGGACATGCCTGGAGTCCCTATGGATCTCATGGTGCAACAGGCTTGATCATAAACAGCAGCTGGGGACCCAGGATGGATGCTCAGAGGAAATGACTAGGTTTGAGAACCAAGATCAGGCTAGGGAGGAAGCATCCTGGAGCCTCATTGTGGGTCTGGCCCTACTCTGAAACCTCTGGGCTTTAGCTTCTCTTTGGGGTTATGAAGGGGGTTACTTGAAGCAAGATAGAGCCTGGCCCAGGACCCGCCTGGCACAGGGCCCGCCTGGCCCAGGACCTGCCTGGCACAGAAACTGCCACTTGCTGTGTTTCTACAGGTGTGGCCTGAAAGAAGATGAGAAGCTGCAGAGCCAGGAGGTGGGTACTTAGGCATAGGATAGGGCAGTGTGGGGATGGGAGCCCCAAATTTACTAGTCAGCTGGGCTCTTCTTTTGCTTCAGGGAAGTCAGAGCACCACGAAGACTCCCAGTACAGAGGAAGATCGTGAACAAAAGCAGAATGAAACGGAACCAGGCATACAGGAGACCATACCTGCCATCAGTCCAGCTCTGGCCTCCCCAGAGGCGCTAAAAGAGGAGTCAGGAACCTCTACTACAGTCAGTGTGGCCCTAGACACCCCACAAAATTCTGATTTGGCTCCCCTTGACCTCTCTCTAGGAGGAGCTAGCAGCCCCAAGCCTGAAAAAAGTACATGTGGACTCAGTACAAAGTGTGGGGTTCCAGAAAATCCAGTACCACGACCAAATGGTTCTGAGCAGCAGACCCTGGCATGGAATGACCACCAGTCTGGGTTGGCAGGCTGCATTTATACTGAGCCACTGAAAGAAGCAGAGGCCTCAGAGTCCAAAGAGGACCAGGCAGGTAAAGCTGGGGCCCAGCAGAACCTGGCACCGAGAAGCAGGCCCCCCAGAGGAACTGGCCAAAGGGCAAGAGGCACAAGTAGAAGAACCAGGGCAGGAGGCCCTGGCCCTGCAGGAAGCTGCTGAGCAAAGCTCATGGGAGTTGGGGAGCCAGGCTGTGGAGGAGAGAACTCAATCAAGAACCTTCTGTGGGACAGGGGTCTGGCTGCTGGTGGCTTGTACCTTTGTGGTCGAGCAGTGTGGCAAAATTCCGCAGGGACACCGCGTGAGGGCCTCCTATGCACATCTCTCTACGCAAGTGGGGTTTTACATATGGGCAAGGACCCTGGCACATTTGCATGCTGGGCTCTCTTGTCCAAGGATGGGATCCCTGGCCTGGGCCTACAGCTACCTAGGATAGGGCCCTTCCCACAAAGCAAGAGTTGGTAGTACCCCAGAATGTGGGTCTCCTGGCTCCTTGTCATTCAACATTGCCAGGTCTCCCCGCCCAGTCAGAGCTTTCGGGTTCCTCAGCTCTATGTAGTCTCAGTGCTGGTGTGGCCAGCCCAGCCCCTTTCTGATACCCATGCCTTGCATCCAGGTGACTCACAGTCCTGGCCTTCCAAGATGGCCAAACTGGGATTTCAACAATTGCCCAAGGCCCATAGAAAGTGGGTTGGGGCTCATGGCTGTCAGGAACAAGTTTGGAGTGGGAGGCTTCTTGGGGGAAGGAAAGGATCGGAGGGCTTCTTCTTTGATCTGGGCTAGGCTTCTCTTGTCCGTGGCCACAGGAGAAGAGTTCACTGACAGGTACTGGGTCTGCCTCTTCTATATCCAGATCAGACATCGTGGGCGCCCTGAATGGACCCTGCAGACAGGGCCATTCCTGACCTTCCTTCCTTCCTTCCTTCCTTCCTTCCTTCCTTCCTTCCTTCCTTCCTTCCTTCCTTCCTTCCTTCCTTCCTTCTGCATTTCCCCTCACCAGGGCTGTGCAGAAGCCAGCACATAGGCGGAGACAGAGGAACAGCAACCTCAGCTCAGTACGACACCGGGATGTGTTGTTCTCGCTCCATCTCCATCCAGGCCCCTCCCACGGGGCCCACGTCTGGTGAATTATCCAGACTCTGCACAAGCTGTGGCTTCCTTTCAATACAACAAACATTTCCTGAGCATCTTCTCCCAGTGATCCAGTCAGTGGGCGAGGGCGACTCTGCCAGCAGGAGGGAGGGAAGGAGCTCAGTCATCGACAGCTCCAGGCTGAATGGCAAGTGCTGTTCTCCTCTGTAGATGCCTGGCAGTCTTGGGTATGACGAGGGTAGCAGCCTGAGAGAGCCACCCCACCTTTGCTTCCCTCTTTTGATATGGCCTGTGCCCTTTGCTCCCAGGCCCTCATCTGGATAGCACCATGCAGCTCTTCCCCTTTCTTCTCTACAGGGCGCGTGTGTGTGTGTGTGTGTGTGTGTGTGTGTGTGTGTGTGTGGTGGGGGTCTCACAACAATCCTCTGAAACTCTAGGGAAAGCCCACACCATCTCCATCTTTACACGTGTGGCCTGAAACCTGGGCTCCAGTCTTGGCCTTCCTTCCTGGCTCGTGGGTCTATTGCCTCTACTCAGGCAGCGTGAATCTTCAAGCAGGTCATATTGTTTAGAGACTTCTCGCACTCCGTGTGCAGGTTGAACCCAGGGGGTCTGGGGGAAGGTCTGGGTGTTTGCTTCTCTAGTAAGTCCCAGGTGAGGGAGGCATGGCTGCTCTTTTTGGCCTGAAGCACCCTTCGAGGAGTCGGGTTCTGGAGTGGAGTGTGTGAAGGATTCAGGTTAGAGCGAAGTCTACACTCTAAGGCCGGTTGCTGGCTATGCGGGAACTAGGGGAGTGCTGGCCCTGCAGAAGAGGCTTCCTAGCTTCTGAGGCTCCTGCAGAAGAGCCTTTGGGCAGTGGGTAACGGAGTCTGCTCTACAGGGGATGGAAAGAAAGCTGGCTAGGGAGAGATGTGACAGAATGAAGCGGGCAGGAGGGTCAGCGGAAGTTTGGAGAGGCAGAAAAACATTCTTGTACATGTGAGACATGCCTGGGCCAGAATGAAGGATCCAAATTCAAGTTTTTATCCTGCTTTCCAGTCTCAAGTCTAGGTCTTTGGAGTGTGACACGGGCCCTGGAGCTCATGACTCCTAAGAGATGGGACTGGAACAGAGCAGGTTCAGGCAGAGTTCTTGAATTCAGATACTGCAAAGAAATGATGGTGATCAAGAATTCGAATTCTTGGCTAGGGGTGCAGGTTGGGAGAGTTCATTCTCAGCATACGTGAGGCCCTAGGTTCAATCTCTAGGATCCTCAAGACAGAGAGAGAGAGAGAGAGAGAGAGAGAGAGAGAGAGAGAGAGAGAGAGAGGGGATTCACAATTTGCCCCCCATTGGATGCTGCCAATTGTACAATGTGCTTCATTAAACCACACAGAGCAGGACGTGTTTGATCGCCGGCTGAGGATGTAAACATCTGGCAGGGTTCTAGCTCAGTCCTTACAAAGGGACCTAAGCAGGAGAAAGCTGGCAAGGAGGACTGAGGGCATGGGGCTTTTCTTCATGGGCAACAGCCATTAAGTAGATGACTGCGGGAAGCCGTCCTAGGGATTGGAGAGAATGGAAGCAACACAGGGCATCTTCATCACTGAAGCCGGCAGTGCCAGCAATAACACCAAGCTTTCCCTGGGAAAGGGAAGCTCGTCTCCAAGATAAGATAAGATAAGGGTGTCACCTCCCAGCTCTCTGGGTGTGGCCAGCCTGCTCTGTGACAGAGTCAACTCTGAGCAGAAGAAATCCCTGTCAGTCATTCCTCTTGAGGCCACAAAGAGCTCTTTGAGGTGACTCTTGCTGGTGGCTTTGTTGGAAGGTCTGACCCAGAGCTTTTCCTTAGGAAGCCCTCTTCTCTCCAATGACCAGACAAGACTACTTTTCAAAAGTAGGAGTCTTCATTAAACCCAGCTCTAGGGAACCAGATGCAGGGCTGGAAGGAGCCAACCAGGAAGGTCCCCAGGGGGACCCTGGAGGGAGAGGACACAGATCACCTGCAGAAACCTTGAAACAAAGAAGGCGGGAAGGAAACGGAGGTGATGCTGTAAGAAAGGTGTGTGTTTTGATCCCAGACCCTGTCCCTGTAGTAGAGCAGAACACACCTTGGAGTCTGAGATTCTAAATATGAACCCTGGACCTCCCATCCACCTTGGTCAACTTGAACCTCTAGAAGCCTCAGTTTCCCCATTTGCACAATGAGGCTTGCAGCAGGACCTCTAAGGGGTTGCTGAGAAAGCTGGCCGGGGAAGAGGAGCTGGCACACAGAATGTTAATAAACGAGGTGGACCTTTGATACAATGTCGATGTCTGCTTGTGTTCTGTCGATTTTTTTTTTTTTTTTTTTACTTTCCTTTTACTGGGGATCAGTGCTCTCTCGGAGAGGATGGCAATTTTCCTTTCCTTATTTTCCTCCAGAAGCCCACCCGCTAGGGAGCTTCCTCTGAGTCTCCCAGAAGCAAGTTCTGCCACCCAAAGGAGCAAATGACTGGTTTTCTTATGGCCAACCTCAGCTATTTAAAACAACGCACAAGTTAGGAAGATCTGACCACTAGTTAACTCCAGCCCCGGTCCCACCCTCAGGAATGAGAATTATAGGAAAAGATGACACTGGGCCTTAAAAACACCAAGAAATGGCAAACTTTTTCATATGGACTGTCTTTTCTGGGAGTGGGGGTTGCCAAGAGAAGAGGGGACAACAAAGGCTCGGCCATTTCGCACTGTCATGTATCGGTGTCCCCCAGCATCTCCTTCCGAGTCGGAGTTATCTGGGCTACAGAGGAAGGACAGATATGGTGACCGCAGCTTCCCCACACAGGCTGGGAACGGTGAAGAGGAGAGCCAGCAGAGTCCAGACTGCGGCTGCTTTCTCTCAAGTCTGCTGTGCCTACGTCACAGCTCTCATTAACATCCACTTGACGCCAGGGAGGTGAAATAGTGCAGACCTGGCACCAGAAAGAACAAGTGTGGCACCCACTGCTCCTTTTAAGGACTGGCTGGAGCAGCAGCCGGCCCCGGGGCAGGAGGTGAGGGAGGTGAGCAACAACACCAGCACCTTGGAGGCTGAGGGAGGAGACGACAGCCTACCTCCATCTTAACAAGCTCTCCAGGGCAAACTGTCAAAAATAATGGACGGTGTAAGCTTTTTCCTTCTTACAAACTCTGGGGACATAGTGTTTCCTCTCCCTCAAGCAGGGCAGCTGGCTCCAATGAAGCAAAAGAGTCAAAAATCACACTGATGACCAGCTAGCAAAACAGAAAGGTCCCCATGTTACCGGATCAGAGGGAAAGGCTGGGCCAGCGGGGGCTCTCCAACTCCAGTGTGCATTGGAATCACCTGGAAAGCTGGGTTGGCTTTTCTTGTTTTTGAGTCTTGTTTTTTGTTTTATTTATTTATTTATTTTGGGTTTTTCACAATAGTGTTTCTCTGTAGCCCAGGCCCAGGCCCTCTTGGAACTCACTCTGAAGATCGGGCTGACTTCAAACTCGGGTATCTGCCTGCCTCTGCTGGGATTAAAGGTGTGCACCTGGCTGGAAAGCTGGTTTTTAAACAAAAGTCCTGCCTCTGCTTCCTGAGACAGTCGCTCAGCTGATCTGGAACGTGGCTTACAGTGCCACAGCTCTCCCAGTTTCTCAGGGGATGCTGACCTCTTGGTCTGGGGTGTCATCATTGCTGGCCTCCCCTTCACATTTCCTTCCGTTTTTCTACTGCAGGAATGGATATGCCCTTGAAAATCTATTACCTCCTGTGTTATGTACCATCCGTTTATTCCCAAGGCCTCATTTGCTCTTAGGATATCCCATTTGGTTGGCAGAAGAGGCCAAGGCCTTTTCCAATGCTACTGATGAGCTGTGAGGTTTCTTAACTTCCTGTTCAGTGTCTTAACTTCCTGTTCAGGGGTCACTTCTGAGAACACACTGCCTCCCACCAGGGTTCTGGTCACGCCATGAGCTCACTAGACCTCACAGATGGGCTTCTCTAACTTTTTAAAAATATATATATAATTTATGTTGTATGTGTATGGTTGTTCTGCCTGTGTGCATGTCTGTGCACTACATTCGTGACTGGTGCCTGTGGAGGCCATAAGAGGGCGGGGGACCCCAGGAAATGGAGTGACTGACAGTTGTCAGCCACCACGTGGGTGCTGTGAATGGAACCTGGGACCTCTGGAAGAGCTGCAAGCCCTCTAAACTGCTGAGCCATCTCTCCAGCCCTGCTTCTGTAACTGACACATCCCAGCAGGTACCTAAGGGACAGGTGGCTTCTGGGACACAGGGGACAATCGTATCTAATGACTGAACACTGAGGGAGTAGAAGAAAAAGAAGGTATATTTAAAAAGAAATCATTTCTGAGGAATACAGTTGCTTTTTTTTTTTGACAAGTTTGTTTTGAGAGTTTTGAAGTTCACTTGGCATACTCTGGGCACTTGATAAATACTAAATTAATGGTAATGGTTTGTGGAAAATATTCCTGAGGATATTAAACAGAATCTTGCTGCCGGAATAAAAACTAATGAGCAAAATTAGGAAAATGGGGCTGTTTAGGCAATAGAGCATGACGGCCATGGGCAAGAAGTGTGTGGTAATTTTCTGGTTCCTTTCTTGTAGCTTAATAAATGCTTTCGAAACTGAACAGGACCACAAGAACTAGCTCAGCGAGGGCGCTTAGACTGACCAGGTGACTCCTGTGTGAGAAGGACCACTGGGGGCTGGGTTGGTGGCGACGATGGACATCCTAATAGCGTTGGGTGTGTGGCAAAGGCAGGCTTTGTTTGTTTATTTTTTTTTTTTGACCAGCTGTTGGAGGGAACAAAAATCGTAACACAGGCTCTCTGCAGCAGAAAACCACAGGCTATGTCTGTGAGGGAAACAGATGTGACCAAAAAACTGTCAACAGTGCAGCTATTTTTGTAGCTCTACATTAAGGCTGGGACAGAGAGGACAGTGCATGGGTCACAAAGCCCATGCTGCAGCCGTATGGATGACAGCATGGACTTCTGGTTCCTGGACAGAACTGGGGAGTCAAACCCAAGCCCATCAACACGGACGGGAGGAACCGTTCGACCAGGTCAGGGCAGCTACAGCTTGAATGAGACTATGGCTGTGGTGCAGGGTCCCTAAGTGGACCATGACAGGAGCACCATGACAACGTGCCGTTACCTCCATCACAGTGACCGCCCAGGTGATCAACACTCTCTGAGGACTTGGTGCTCTGTGCCAGGCACTGAGTTGGCACTGGCCATGAGAAATGAGCAAAGCCACTGCAGCCCTTTCCCCTCCCAGAGGGAGGCCAATTAAACGGTACAGCTGTGGCCCTTTTGTCACAGAACTGCACTTCCAGAAATACCTCCATTTTCTGCAGACAGGAAGGGAGGACCATTATTACCCTCTAAAGAGCTGCAGTGGCCCTAAAGCCACCAGCCTTCCAGCTCCTCAGAGCAGCAGCAGCAGCGTGTAGGAACACGTAGATGCTCTGCCTCCAGCATTTCCAAACAGGATATAAATACTCGACGACACAACACACCAGCTTACAATTCCCCAGGGAAAACCGAGAACCAAGGTAGACAGAAAAGCTTCCCAAACCGTTGTGCCATACCGTGGATATCTTAGTGGGGGAGGGGGGAGTAACGCTGCTTAAGGTTTCAGAGAAGCACTTTTCTGTACCTGAGCAGCCATGGAGGAAGGAGAAAGATACAAGCTTATCCAAAGGGCTCCCTGACCCCATACTTTCATAACTTCATTCTTTTTTTTTCAGGCTGCCAGGGAATGAACAGACACGGTAACTTTCAGTATAAGCAGACACCCAGGGATCGTCCCAGTGCAGAGCAGTTAAGAGGGAAAATCTCTAACGCCCTTCGCACAGGCCTTCCAGGCTTAAACACACGGACAGTTTTGCTCCTACCCAACATTTGCAAAGAAAGCTGTTTCCAATGCCTGTTCCCATCCCATCGGGCCCTGTTCTAATCAGCCAGCAGGCTCTCCGTGTACCTACTGCTGTCTCTGGCCAATGTGGTAAGCTGTGTGCAGCTGTAGAAGCCACATGTCCCCATCTGCAGAGGGGAGGGGGTGAGTGGAAAGCCACGGAACTCACGGCCTTGTACAGAAAGCCATTGTGTAGGCTGAAGAGGGAAATAAAGGAAGGGCGGGACTTTTCCCTAGCCTCCCGCAGACTACAAGGTGAAGTAACTGCACAGTGCCTACCCCCTCACAGTTCTAGAGAAGTGCAGGCCACAGGGGGCTCCACCAACACTGGCTTCTCCCTCTGGATTTGTACTGGGTACCAATTGTCTCGTAATGAGCTGAACTCAATTTCATACCATGTATTTCTGCAGCATAACTAATCCCTTAGATTTATGCTTCTCACCCACATCTTTTTTGTTGTTGTTGTTTGCTTTCAGGGGAGGAAAAAAAAAAAAAAACCCGCACCTTTGAAGCAACCTACACCTCTTAGCTGCTTGGCCCTGGAGACAGGCTCGACAAGGCAGCTCAGAGGCCTGGGTTCATCTTTTTCTGTGTCAGCACTTCCTGAGTTAGCAAAAGGCCAACAGTTTAAGGTGAGAACAGGTCGCCAGCAGGCAACTGTATCTTCACTTCAGACAGCTAAATGTTTGTGATTAAAGCTTAATTTTCACACTTGCTGGTCCTCCTGCTAGGTATCTGCTTAAGAGTACCCTGGAGTAGAACTTTCTCGGCCCTCCGGCCTTGTTAGGTTAGCAGAAACTGGCATCCTCTTCCGACCTGACTAAGATGGATCCTGCCATCCTCCTCTAATCTGCTCAGCTGAAGGCACCGAGAACAGCAAGGCAATTGCCTTTTCCTTCTGCACCTATTCATCACCACCTACCCAGGGCACCCGAGACCACCTCTACTCCTTCTCCATGAAGTCAGTAAGAGAAAGGACCAACTGACACAGGCTTAGGCAGAGTTCTTAGAATGTATTTTTGTTCACCTGAAAAATAAAACTTTTAAAAAATATACAGGACTTTTAAGTACAGGTATATCTTGAATGGCTGAATTATAAATAATGTCTCTGGTCATGTTCACAGCTAGGGCTGGAGAAAATGTCCCAATTCCAGTGAAGGCTTTGGAGAGTCGGAAGGCCAGCTGGACCACGAGTGGTCTTGCTGGACTCTGATTCATCCCAAAGTGGATTTAAACAGTCCATAAAGCAGGGTCACAAGGGTAGGAGGAATGGACTCCCAGATATTCTCCCACGAGTCCCGAGGATTCTTGGAATAAGAGATCAATTTACAAATTATTAAAATATAGGACTAAAAATTCACACCATAAATATAAATTACAGGCTATTATTG